AACGGAGCTGTTAACGACACCAACCAGCAAACAGAAGGCGCAGAAGCGGAAGCGCCAGTCGGGGATCTTCTGACCCCGGCCAATGCAGACCCGGGTCAGTCGAAAGCGCAGGATCCTGCACACTCGTGCTGGACCCTGCACCCGCATGATGGACGGATGCTCCCCCGCCACCTGGGTGAGCGATCTGAGGAGGAGGAGGAGGAGGAGGAGGAGGAGGAGGAGGAGGAGGAGGAGGAGGAGGAGGAGGAGGGGCGGCATGCGCTCGATCCGCTGGTGCACCGCACTGCCGCAAACAGCTGCCCCCCGCATCATGCCCCACCCCTCGGCTACCGTGGGGAGCTGCCTGCAGCCGGGGGGCATCTGTATTGGGCGACTCGGTGCAAAAAAAACTATTTCTTTTTCTCTCTCTCTCTCTCTCTGACACAGACACACAGACACACAGGGACGCACGCACGCACGCACGCACGCACGCACGCACGCGCGCGCACACACACCCACCCACCCACCCACGCACGCACGCACGCACGCACGCACGCACGCACGCGCACGCCCACGCGCACACGCACGCGCACAGTCCCCGGGGGCACGCCCCCCCCCCTTTGCGGGATCCCGAACAGAGCGACCGCGCCGCGCCCGCGGCGCGGGCCGCAGACTTTTTCCAGCCGCCGCCGCCTCGACCAGCGGAGGCGCGGCACGTCCCCTCGCAGAGCGTGCCCAGGTCCGTGGCTGGAGCGGCAGCTTGCGTGCCCTTTGACGGGGCCCCACACTAATAAAACTAACTATTCCCCATGTATTCCGATATGTTCTGGGTGTTTGTCTTCCCCCCCACTTCCCAGATCTTCCCATATTTCCCCGGGAATCGACGATGACTTGTGTCTGCGTGTTGTTTTCCCCTCCTGACCCTTGGCCTTCGCGCGAGTGGGGCATGAGCCAGTGCCCCCCACCAGCACCGTCACGTGCGCGATCGCGCGTGCCCTAATCACAGCACCTCTGCGTGGTGGGCTTCCTCCCGCTCCGCGGCCATGCCCCTCCCGAGCCTGCCCCTGGCACAGGGGCATGGATCAGAGCAAGGCGATGGGCCTGGCGCCGGCACCGTCCGCATTGCCAAACAAAGCCGTAACCGCTGGCAACGTCCTGGAGCTCCCACAACATCGGGTCTGATAGCCTCTGAAGCTAGCGTCCGGCTTGTCAAACGACCTTGGGCGGACGCAGGCCACCCCGAACCCAACCTGGTGACCGAACGACCTGCGCGCTGTCTTGGCCCTCTCGATGGCTGGCCGATGCAGCGCGCTCAGGTCTGCCGCCGCATGCTGGTCCTCCGAAGTGTATGGAAGAAGAAACAAACTGCATAAACATTCACGTGTGGCGATCCGCGCGGACTTCTTGGATCCGCGCTGGGCCCTCCTCCCTGGCGCGCGGAGCGCGCCAGAGGCGGCGCCGAAGGCGCCGCCCGGGGGGCCCAGCGCGGATCCGAAACATCCGCGCGAAGCGCCCAAAATGTATGCTTATGGCGTTTGTTCTCCTTCGGCTGCCCTCGTGCCAGAGGCGATTCCGGCCTTCGGTCGTGGCGTGCCCCGCCAGGTCACCCAGCAGAGGCCATCCCTCGGGCGAGATCGGCCCCCTGATTAGGGAGCCCATAAAGGACGTACGCGCCCAGCTATCTCCATGAACACGGCCCCTCGATCCGCGAGACCGGCCGCGTTATGCGACCATTTGCGCCATGCGTACTCTCGAAACCAGCGTGGATTCATGTACATGTACGTCCTTTTTCGCTCCTGACTGATGTCGGGCAACTGCTTGTGGAGCCCTGCGGGCTCGCCCTCCCCCTCCCGAGGCAGGGGGCCCACCCTCGCCGCCCGGGCAGCGGCGCCCCTGGCAGCCATATATGCGAAGCCTCTCTCGCCGCGCCCCGGACGCTGGAGACGAGGACGACCAGGTCCTCTCCTCCGCGCTCGGCCACAGCGCGGACGGAGTGGCACTCGAACGCTCCTCCTCCTCCTCCTCCTCCTCCTCCTCTTCCTCCTCCTCCTCCTCCTCCTCCGCCTCCTCCTCCTCCTCCTCCTCAGTGGCTCGACTCTTTCGAGCCTGGACAGAGCAGTGCGATCCAGCTCCGAGAACAGCGGCTGCAGAGTGCGAGCCCTGTGGCACACCTGGTCGCCCGCCTCGGCTGCCATTGCGCCCCCACCGACCACGCCTTGCCCTATGCCCACGAGCCGATCTGTGCTGCCCCACGCACACCTAGTCCCCCAAAGGGAGACCAGGTTGGAAGAGGACGAGGAGGAAGACGAGGATAACGAGAAGGACGAGAAGGAGGAGGAGGAGGAGGAGGAGGAGGAAGGCTAACAAAGCCTGGCACCGAGACAGAGGAAAACCGTACGGTCAGGCCTTCTCGTCCAGGCGCACGGCCGCAAGCAACTGCCGCACCAGTGCCAGCGCCGGCTCGCCCTCGCGCCCCTGCAGCAGCGCGTCGCGGATCGCCAGCATGCTCTCGTTGTGCCTCGTCGGCGCACCTCCTCCTCCTCCTCCTCCTTTTCCTCCTCCTCCTCCTGCTGCCTTCCCTCCTCCTCTTTATCCTCCTCCTCCTCCTCTTCCAGCCTCCTCCTCCTCCTCCTCCTCCTCCTCCTCCTCCTCCTCCTCCTCCTCCTCCTCCTCCTCCTCCTCCTCCTCCTCCTCATCCTCCCTCCCCCAGCGCGCCGCACGCTGTCGCGGCCGTGGCCGCGGCCGCGGCCATGAGTTTGCCTTCGTCGCGGCCGTGGCGGTCGTGGTCGCCGCCGCTCGCCGTCGTCGTCGTGCCTCCCTCACTGTGTCCCCCGGTCTTCCTCCTCCTCCTGCTTCTGCTCCCGCTCCTCCTCCTCCTCCTCCTCCTCCTCCTCCGCCTCCCATCCTCCTCTTTCATACCTTCTCTCTATATAACGTTGAATGTATTATCTCCACCACCGTGCCTCGAGGAACGAAGTGGAGTGTCCTCAGGTCCTGGTTCCCTGTTCTCTGAACTCAGGGCTGGGGGATTACAGTATTCTGGTGGCTGGGGGCCCACGTTCTCAAACTTTCCGGGCGTTCCCGCGCGGTTTCGCGCTCCCGGACTCCTTCGCATGGATTTTCCAGAGGCCACAAAGCCCCGAGGCAGGCCAGGATGGCTCCCAGAAACGCCCAGGAGGCCTCCAGGACAGTCCAAGAGCGCTCCAAGACGCCCAAGATGGCTCCAAGACGGCCCAACATGCGCCGAAGAAACCCCATGAGCGCTTCAAAAGGACCCCCAAGAGGGACTAGCAGCAAAAATAATTGATTGTCCTTGTGCTGTTTCGATGTGTGTTCGCCTTCTCACGGTGTCGGGCTTCCGACGCTCCGAGATGGCCCGGGAGGCCCCCCAAACCGCTTCAAAACAGCGGCCCAAAAGGGCCCCCAAACGGCCCAGAAGGCGCCCAAGATCGCCCAGGAGGGCCCAAAGACGGCCCCAAGACGGGCCCAAGACAATTCAAGCCTTCCGCCCCAAGAGGCCCCGAAGGGGCCAAGAGGCCCCCAAGAGAGCCCAAGAGGCCCCCTGAAGTCTTCGCGAGACACCCAAGAGGCCCCAAAAAGGCTCCAAGAGGCCCACAAACGGCCCCCCAAAAGGCTTCTAAGTGCCTCAAAGAGGCCCTTGAGAAACCATCCAGATATTCAAACGAACATCCAAGAGGCCTCTAACGGAAAATCGAGGGAGGTGAAGCCATGCGAGATCGACGCAAGCCATGCGAATCTAGCGGTCGTGAAGCCATGCGAGATCGACGCGCGACGCTTCGAAGGTTCCGAATGCTTCCCAGACTGCACAAATGACGAGTCTGCCACGGTGGCCGAAGAGGGCCCCAGAAGCTCCGGGCCGCCAGGCCGCCGCAGCCGCCGCCCCCGCGGTCGCCGCCGCAGCCGCCGCCGCCGCAGCCGCCGCCGCCGCAGCCGCCGCCGCCGTAGTGATAATCATCGGGGTGGTCGTCGTAGTGATCGTGGTGGTGGTCGTCATCTGTGGATGTGATCGAACGATTACATGTTATGGGGCGTGTTGTGATTTTCTGGTGCCTCTGGAGGCCTCGGGAGTCTGGAAATCTGTGGAGGCTGTCGGCCGTCGTCGATCGATCGTCGCCGTTGTAGTCGTCGTCAGGCTTTTGGAGGCCGCCAGGACCTCCTCGTCGTAACTGTCTTTGTCGCCGTGGTCGTCGTGGTCGTGGTCTTGATGGCCTCCGTCGACGCCAACATCGTCGCAGCCGTCTACGATCGGAGGATCAAGATTTGAAAAACGACCCAGGATCAAGGATCCAGGATCGAAGATCCAGATCTGTAAACAATCCTGTTTTTTGTTGTAGAACAAGCATGATGGACCCACGTACCCAGAAAGGGATATAGAACCGCATGCATGGAAACGTTTTCACGACACCGTATTGGGCGACGGGCACTTCCACGAGACACCCCGCGAAACATTCCACGAGACACGGGCGACCGTTTTCAACGTTTTCCTGGAAACATTCCACGAGACACCCCGCGAAACAGTCCACGAGACACCCCACTAAACATTCCACGACGACAGGCAACCACTCAACCAAGGCGGTGTGGTCGTGCTGGGGAGTGGTCGTGCTGGGGTGTGGTCGTGCTGGGGGGTGGTCGTGCTGGGGGGTGGTCGTGCTGGGGGGGTAGTCGTGCTGGGGGGTGGTCGTGCTGGGGCGTGGTCGTGCTGGGGCGTGGTCGTGCTGGGGCGTGGTCGTGCTGGGGTGTGGTCGTGCTGTGGTGAGGTCGTGCTGGGGTGTGGTCGTGCTGGGGTGTGGTCTTGCTTGGGTGGGGTGGGTTGTGCTGGGGTGTGTAATGCTGGGGGTGGTCGTTGCTGGGGTGTGGTCGTGCTCGGTGGGGTCGTTCTGGGTTGTGGTCGTGGAACCGGATTCGCGGGGGGTGGCCCCCCCTTGGGGGGAGGGGGGGGGGGGAACAAATTTTTTTTTTTTCCCCCAACTTACCCCAGTGCGACCCTACCTAGAAGTTGGAGCCCCTAGGAAAGCAGCATTAGTTGCTATGCTATCCTATGCTATGCTATGCCATGCTATGCTGCGCTATGCAATGTTATGCCATGCTGCGCTATGCTATGCTTTGCTATGATATGCTAAGCTATGCTATGTCATACTGCGCTGTGCTATGCTAAGCTATGCTATGATATGCGAAGCTGCGCTATGCTATGCTATGCTGCGCTATGCTATGCTATGCTGGGCTATGCTATGATATGCTGTGCTGCGCTATGCTATGCTACGCTACGCTATGCTATACTCTGCTGTGCTATGCTATGCTAAAGCTCAGCGAAGCTAAGATGAAGGTAAACTAAGCTAAGACACACCTGAGCTAAGATGAAGCTAAGCTAAGTTAAGATGAAATAAGCTAAGCTAAGATGAGATAAGCAACGCTAAGCTAAGGGGACGTAACTCGGGGAACCGCGGGGCGGATGCCGGGGGAACCGCCCGGGGCGGTGTCCACTGCCCGGCCCCTTTAAGATACAGGGTAAGAACCCTCTAGGCAGAGCCTAGGTAGGGAATCTATACGCACATACGTAAAAGCACATGGATTCGTGCACCTGGAGAGGGCAAATCTACAAGCACATACGTAAAAACACACGGGTTCGTGCACCTGGAGAAGGCAAATCTCTGGGGCGCCCAGATCCCTCAAGTTCTACAAAACAAGCGATTCGCTCGAGACATCCTCGGTAACTCTGCGGAGCAAGCGTTTCGCTCGAGACATCCTCAACACACGAAAGAGTGGCCCGCACCCTGTGATTGATCGATCGGGATTCCAAAAACAAGCGTTTCGCCTGAGACATCCTCAAATCTTAATTCGCCGGCCCACCTCGACCTCGATATTCATCCGGGAAAGAACCTGACCGGACAAGAACGGGAAGCGTCGCTTTAGTCCACCAAACATGTGGAAAACGCTCTGTTGTTGTAATGCCGCGCAGGTATGCCGTGGCGCGCGTGTCGGCGTGCGTGCGGGGTGTGTTTTGCTGTGCTCCTGTGTGTTCTGCCGTGCTCCTGTTCTGCCGTGCTTCTGTGTTCTGCCGTGCCTCTGTGTGCTCTGCGTGTTCTGCCGTGTTCCTGTATCTGTCGTGCGGATCGTCGCGGTGGTCGTTTTGGCAGAGCTTCTGGGCGCACACGGCAGAAAAAGATGAGGAGCACGGCAGAATAGGCCCCAAGAGCGAAGGAGCACGGCAAAGAAAGACAAGGAACACGGCAGAATAGACCCCAAGAGCAAATGAGTACGGCAGAATACGCCCCAAAAGCTAAGGAGCACGGCAGAAAATGACCAGGAGCACGGCAGAATAGACCTCAAGAGCTAAGGAGCAGGCAGAAAAAGACCAGGAACACGGCAGATTAGGCCCCAAGAGCGAAGGAGCACGGCAGAAAAAGACCAGGAGCACGGCAGAATAGACCCCAGGAGCTAAGGAGCAGGGCTGGATATGCCTCAAGTGCGAAGGAGTACGGCAGAGAAAGACCAGGAGCACGGCAGGATAGACCCCAAAAGCTAAGGAGCATGGCAGAGAATGACCAGGAGCACGGCAGAATAGGCCCCAAGAGCGAAGGAGCACGGCAGAAAAAAAACAGAAGCACGCCAGAGTAGACCCCGAGAGCTGAAGGAGTGCGGGAAAATAGACCCCAAGAACGAAGGAGCAAACCAGAAAAAGACGAGGAGCACAGCAGAATAGAACCCAAGAGACAAGGAACACGGCAGAATATGCCCCAAGTGCGAAGGAGCACGGCAGAAAAAAAGCGGGAGCACGGCAGACGAATACCAGGAGCACAGCAGAATAGGCCCCATGAGCGAAGGAGCACGTCGGAAACAAACCAGGAGCATGGCAGAATAGACTCCAAGAGCTGCCGAGCACGGCAGAAAAAATACCAGGAGCACGGCAGAATAGACCCCAAGAGCTAAGGAGCACTGCATAATAGGCCCCAAGAGCGAAAAAGACGCCAGAAAAAGACCAGGAGGACGGCAGAAGATGCCCCTAGAGCTAAGGACGACGGCAGAAGAGACCGAAACACAGCAGAAAAGGCCCGAGGAGCCAAGGAGTACGACAGAAAAGACCAGGAGCACGGCATAATAGGCCTGAAGAGCGAGGGAGCAAACCAGAAAAAGACGAGGAGCACGGCAGAATAGAACCCAAGAGACAAGGAGCACAGCAGAAGATGCCCCAAGTGCGAAGAAGCACGGCAGAACATGACCAGGACCACGGCAGAATAGACCCCCAGAGCTCAGGGGCACGGCAGAAAAAAGACCAGGACCACGGCAGAATAGACCCCAGAGCTAAGGAGCACGGCAGAAAAAAGACCAGGAGCACGGAAGAGTAGGCCCCATGAGCGAAGGAGCACGGCAGAAAAAAACAAAGAGCACGGCAGAATAGACCCCAAGAGCTGAGGAGCACGGCAGAAGAGGCCCCAAGAGCGAAAGAACATGACAGAAATAAAAACAGGAGCACGGCAGAATAGACCCCAAGAGCTGAGGAGC